AAGATTTTTATTTTTTAACCATTTTTTGAACGGAGTAGCTAAATGACGTATCTTCTGCGCCTTCTTTTCTGTTTTTTGTTTTCCAAATCCCAAGCTGGTTTTTTGGTGACCAGTTCACTTGCAATTATAGCGTAACTGCATTCGAATTAAAGAAAAATTCAACTCTCAGTGGCCATTCAAAAATTTTGCGGAAGAAAAAAAATGACATAAAATTTTTTTAGATGAAGGCCTATAAAAACTTTTTTGGATGCTTTACAGCTTTTCAGTCGTATAACCTCGGAATTTTGAAAAATGGGGACCTACTCTGAATTTTCAAAAACTATCTTAAACATTCACAGCTGAAAACGATTCATTATCACTATTTTATCACGCATGTAGGCAACTTCAATTTCAAAAATTCAAATTTCAAGGTCGCGGCGGGGAGGGGGGGGGGGGGTTATAGGTGAGAATTCGCGTGAAAAACGATGTTAAAATCAATGGACCTGTACACGTCTCCTTTTTGCGTTCCCATCTCGTCTGCTTCCCCGCGCAAAAATTTTGGTGCTGTTCATAACTGCTCTGAAGATTCACATAGTGATTTCTTCGATGCCGTATTGCTAGCGTATACCTTCTCGTGCTCGACGTTCGTATTTCTTTATGCATGACATCCCATAATAAGATACTTCACTTGCCAACAATCATCAACAGTGCAATTCTGAATAGACTATTAGGTTTACCTGACTTTCTAAAAGAATCAGAAAAATCTACCTGAGATGTAAATTGCCCATGTTTAATCATGGGAGAAACGTGAATGAAATGTAATTCCTGCGAATGAAAATAAAGAATATTTTTGATAATATTTTTTATTTCAAAATATTTGAAAGTGCTTAAAGGAAGCAGTCGTTTTGCACTACAATCTTCAAAACTGCGCTCATCGAGACGCGTTCCCGCCGCAGCAAAGCTTGCAAGTCCTTGATTGCGTCGGTGCGGTCCCGGATGGAAAATACCACAGTGCAGAGTGGCCTAGGCTAAAAAACCCTCAAGTACAGGTGAGTAGATTTAGCGGTAAATATAGTGTGCCTGCACAGAAGGTGAAATGCGATGAAATTTGCGCGTGAACAAGTAGCCACGTCAGTACCGCGGGTTTCTTGCGCGCGCAATTGGCCGGCGTCACAGTCGAAACTATTTCTTCACGCGCCAATTTTACCGCATTTCACCTTCTGCGCAAGCACACTATATTTACCGCTAAATCTACTCGACTGTAGAGACCCGTTCGAGATTCCGGATATGAACTGAAGCAGGAGGGTTGCGGTAGAGCGCGGCACTCTCAGCCCTCAGTTTCATTGCCTCAGGTGGTGTTGTGCTCTACCGCCAACAGCCTGCTCCAGAATTAACTCCAAAATTGTCCAACAGGTGTTACTAGGTTGAGGATGACTGCAGCTATATCATCATCGACAATATAAAGACGAAATCCGTATGTAGAGATCATCAAACCTAAGCAGAGTGGAATGCGTAAACGCAGTAGGCGGATCGTTTCCATAGTAGAAATAGCATATTTTCTCAGTTTCTGCTTTCGTATCAAGTACATCCGAGTGAGCTCCAGATATTGATGATGAAAATGATTGTGACGTGCTCTAAATGCAGAGTTAATGAAAAAAATTTATTAGGTACCCTTGATTCAACTGGCTTGGCTCTGGAAGGTGGGACTTCGTACCTAATTAAGGCTAGGTAATGATCAGAGAGGACGCGCGTGGGAGAAATGCAGATTACGTTGCGGGGGCGAGCGGCCTTAATCAGGTCACAAAGCCCCGCCTTCCACCCGCCAAGCCATTGATCAAATGTCATGCCTAAGATGAGAGAAAAAGCTTACCTTAAACACGGGTTTTTTAAGTTTATGTGACGGAATCTTCCATAAAGCATCTTGTCTCCTTTTTTCGTTTTCTCTTTCTCTGCAGATAAGCTATTTATCACTATCGTTCTGAGATTTCATAAGGGGCGGGAAGGAGGTCGCCCTTCGAAACATTTTTTGGACTTTTTTCCAAAATATTTGTGACCTGTAACTCCGAATTGAAGAAGAAGAAGCGTGGCATTTTACGTACTAGGTTGATGCATAGTTCCTATACAAGATAGGTACAGACCGCATTAATACACATTTCTTCTATATCCTAAATAATTCCTAATATACCTTTCGATAAAGCAAAGCTAAAGTCTACTGCATGAAGAAGGCGCAGAAGCAATATTAGTTGGGCGGGCGCGAACGCGGCGCGCACGCATCGTCACCTTGTAAATCTTGCGCCTCATGCGCTCTGCGGCTAATAAAGCCGCGTTCGCGTCCAAAGATATTGCGCCTTCGGCATGCAGCAGCGCATAGCTCTGCAAGATTTGAACGGGAGCAGGACGGTCGCGGTAGAGCGCGGCACTGTACAAGATAGTGCTCAAAGTTTTGCAACACCCTTGGTCCAAGCGAAGATTCAAGCCAAAAGCGGAAAAGATCTTAGCGTCCCAAACAATCAAGAAAAACTTGGTCCGTTCAAAACTGGTCAATTGGTACAAGCCCTTTCAGAAAATCCTTCAAAAATTCTAACTTGCTCATGTTGGCATTTCATATAAGACATTTCTTTCGGCCCTTTCTGCATTTTCTATTAGCTAGAAACTGAGAAAACGAAGATTTTTATTTTTTAACCATTTTTTGAACGGAGTAGCAATTTTGTTTCGATTTGGCTTAAGGTTTTCGAGCAAATGGTTTTTACAGTTTTCGGCTTAAAACTTTGCATGGATTGAGGCTGGTGTAGATATTTGAGCAAGAACTTGTAGAGCTAGGTTTGTCCTATCTGACTAGTGTATGAAATCTTCTTTAGGATATAAGAGAATTCCGAATTATTGCGGTCTGTACTTATTTTGGTGCAGGAGTTATGCATCTACCTAATATTGAGAGAAAATTTCGGAAAGTATTCCAATTTCGAATAATAGACAATCATTTGACATATAGTTTTTAGCCTTTACCCCCCCCCCCCCGGTGTTTGCATGGAGGGATACGGTACAGGCACAATGACACATTGTTATCCAGACAATCTCTTTCTCCACTGTCACATATCGTGGAAACCGACGAAGAAGCCCCGCAGGGAATTTATGACCCTGATTGCATACAAATGATTCTCCCTTCAATGCGAAAATAATCACGACAGCAACAGAAAGTATGAGAAGTGCCGCTATGCACATGGCGGCTATTACATATTCTCGATAAGCGTTGAAGAACGATACCGGATAGTCTGATCCTGAAATGTTTTTTAGAAGAATCAAAGGTGCGCAAAGAGATCTAAAATTTGAATTTTTTGTTTGGAAATCAACTGGGAGACTTCAGCTAGGCCCAATACTCAAGCGACAGCTCCTAGGACCCATTCGCGTGCGAAAAGTCCGGTCTCAAAGTCCAGCCCAGACCGTAATCTTTCCAAAACTGTACGGCTTGCTGCAATTCAGGTAATAATATCTCGGCCTTGAATATATATCTTATGAGTTGGTGCTTAAGCAAGGGCTTAGCTAGGACCTACCAATTAGTTTCCACATGATAAACCTCGAAATGCTGTAATTTGTACTCTAACCTGTGAATCCACAAGCTGGGACAGTCATCGGTATGGGACGCCCATTGAAGACATATTGGATCTCATTTTGTGGGTCATAAAGCGGTATCAGGGTCTAAGGTACGATAAAGCATCATTTACTATTTAAATGCTTCATAGATTGTAAACTTACCACATTGACATTAGCGTCCAGTTGAACTGATATCAATCTTTTTGGTTCAGCTGATTTTCCTACCCCGGTCACAATACGTATGGTATTCTAGACCCATCCCAAGCTTCATTCACATCACCGAGAGCTCCTGGTAATAATTGGAATGGAATCCAGCTACAGAAAATGAACTGCGCAACCTACCTGGATAAAAACCCTTTGTCCTATTGAATAAATATGCTCCATCTCTAATATTCTGATTTAAAGGAATGGTTCTGTTCAAAACTCCTGCATAGACCATCATGGCATCATAAAGTTGCGTAGCATATTGGCCCATTTGGCAAGAAGCACTTATTTTTCATGACGTTATTTACTGTTGTTGTTTACCTCCCATTCCTGGCCGTTCACGCATCTTGCGCAAGGAACACCTAGTTCGGCTGTTTTTTTCGCCACTTGTTGCGTAAAATTGGCTAGTCCGGATTTCGAATCTCCGTCATTGTCCACCTAGATATACGGTGTATAAGTCTTTTGATATGATCACAACCAAACGCATTGTTGAGGAAAATCTGGGTGCCCGGGTTTTCATGGAAGTGATTGGAAGGCTATAGCTGAGCCACTAGCCAAGCAACAGCCCAAATCATTCATTCGTGACCAAGAAATATCACTTGAAACTCCAGCCCAGATCGTATTGCTATCGTACCCCTTGGGGAGATTACGGTATGGGTTAGAGAAAGTTGAATTTCTCAGCCGCGAATAAAGAGTATTAGCTGTAACTCGGGCAGAAATTAGAGCTCCCCCCTCCCTAATCACTTTCCATATTATTAGGAAACCCACCAAAGTTTTTCTAACAACCCCCAAATTTCTTACATCACTAAGCATAAACGTCCTTGTGAATGCTTCCAGTGCTTCCTGGTCGCGGCCATCAAGTGGCCATATCTTGTTAAACATAAATGGTACGGTTTCGGGTATTTGCATTTTCTGGGATTTTTAGGTACTTTTCAAAAAATCATATTTTTTCTAAAGTTCTTACTGTATCCGGAATCCAGCAGATCCGCAAAAATGTAGATGTATTCGTCATTAAGCATATTTTGATCCTTTGCTGTTAGCTTAAACATTCGTTTGTTGTCTGGACTGTTTAGGCACACAACAATTACTGTAGAAAGTAGTAGATTGTGACAAAAATGCGGCATATAGTATAAAAGTGCCTTGACAGCATGAAGCTCTCACTTCTTGCCTGAGTGCTTATTTGTTGTAGAGCATCGGTCATTTCGGATACGGAATTGTTCCGCATCTCGATGACATCAGAAATACTGAGGTTGACATTTTGGAAAACCGCTTTCTGAATATTTTATATTATATGTTTTTTGAAAATATTTTTGCTGGAGTTTGTCCACAATAGACAACAAAAATTCAAAACTTTTAAAGACAGGCAGGATAGTATGTGAGGCAACCGCTTTATGCTAAGCTACAGCAAGTTCTGGAATTTTGACCTCTACAGTATAATTGCCGTAACCTGAAATGATGCCGTGTTATGAATAAATTGATAGTAATTTTTTGATTACCACTTCTGATCTTCATGTAAGAGTTTCTCGCAGACTTTTGGTTTTGAATTTTTGACTTGTATAGAAATCAAATAAAATTCTTTTGTGCGTGACTCTCCTGGACATCTGCCAAAAAAATTGGACACTTTTGTGCATCTTCGCTAGCTGAGTAGATGAAAGCAAAAGCGTCCCAACTGAAGTGATCCATGACGGCTAGCAATGCTAAGCTCAACCTGCGCATAAAAGCGAGTTATTACAATTTTTTAAAATTAGTCACCTACGTCAGATAATTAGGAGTAAGTACGACACATGTAAGAAATCTGATAGTATCCGCAAGTTCATTAGCGGTTGTAAATCCCGTATAGAGCGGTAGATTGTAATATGCTGTAATGGCTCCAACGGAAATCGAGGCTAAAGTGCGAAATTTTATAGAAAGTTGGCAGAGGACTTTCGAAAATTAATCGAGAAAAAACTTACGAATATTACAAGTTGGACCAACGATTATGTCTGCTTTGAAGTCGCGAATCAGCTCAAAAGCATAGCCAGCTGCTTGCCTTTCTATACAGTTATCGAAGCGGACAGTGACACTGGAAAATATTGCAAATTGGTAGGGTTCAAGATAATTTGGGTATTTGAACTTTTTGTGTGGACACAGAGGGCATAGCCAGAACCATTTTCCAAGTAGCAGTTCATACATGCCAATTTGTGGCCGAGAAAAACAACGCTCAAAGCTTGCCCAGTACCGTATTCCTCGCGGGGGACCAATCTATTACAGTAGTGGGCAAGCATTCAGAGGTGAATGTCTCTGCCAAGAAAGAATCATATGAGCTGCATCTTGGGCTATGGCCTTATTAGCGCCTCCCAGTCAGTTTCCATTTGAAAAATTTACACACCCAGATTCGCTTGGAGACCATTCTAAATGAAAAACAAACTCACTTGAAAGTATAGCCATCGAGAAGTCGAGAGTCTCGAATGCTGTCAATGGCTAGATATCATGCTCCAATACTGCCAGTGTAGCCGACATAAGATGAATAACTTAAAAATAAATACTGTTCTTCTTAACAAGATGAAAGTGAACTTAACTGAATTATCATCGACAAATAGCTTTCCAACATTGATGACTTTTCTCCTTGTCGTTGCTACTGGGGGAAATAGTGGTACTTGCTAAGAGTTGACTACCTTGAAAGTTTATATATAAAACAAGTTTTACAGAAAATTTTACTATGAGCGTACCTGAAATGAATGTAGCAAAACAAAGAGCGCTCCTATCATACGCTTGAACCAGACTATTATGCTGTTTGTGTTCTTATATTCATATGGTTACACAATTATTTGTTTTTCTACTGATATGCGGATTCATAAGAGCACTTTGGCTCATAAACACGCATATTCCCTACAGTAATACGAAAGCCGTGATGTGTATCGAGATTTTATCACTGTCTAAGTTTCAATAAGCATAGGCTCTCATCCGTCTAAATGTTAACACGCTGATGACGAACAATTTTTAAGGGTTTGTTCCTGTAAACGAGACGTCTCCGTGTACCTCTAGGCCTGGTGCATGTATGTATGCATGAAATATAACACGAGCGAGCTCCGCCCCCTTGTGCCAAGCTCCGCCCACTTGACCAAAACGTCGGAAATTGCCCATTTCCGCCATTTTTTGAAAAGTGGGGAGCTTGCCTGAAAGGGCGGGACCTTGATCAAGGGTGTTTGAGGTCTTTGCGTTCATCTACGGCCTCTCCTGTGCCTTTTGTGCAAAAAAAGGAACCTCGTGAAGGGCATAGGAGTGGTATGTTAAGAGGGGCGGGGCCATCATATGAAATACATCTGAGCCTATGTTGATTATATGAACACAAACTGAGAGGAATGAGCAGATAAGATTGAAGTTAAGGCCGCCGCGCACCACTGCGCGGCGTCGTCCACAGGGACAGACTGCCTGCCGCGCATCATTGCGCGGAGATGTCATCAAAGTATTAACATCTCTTCCCTTAGGTCTGTGAATCTGACGTTTCAACTTTATCGCCGTCTCCAAATCCTCGTGAAGAACAGAACATCTGATTTGGTTTACGCGAACATATCAACATATGCAAGAATACCTCAAGAAGCACATCAGATTCTTGTCGGCCTAGAGGTGAGAATGGTTTTGATCAGTGTAATTTGTGCTACACCTATCCGCAATGTGGAACACAGTAAAGCTCGGTCAGCTCAGGTAATAACAAGCCAACACTTCAGGTTCGTAAGGTGAACCTTGCAGCGGCCACTCCTCCATGCCAAAAGAATGCAACATGACCTGGCAGGTGAAATACTGTTTACTTAGAAATGCTGAGTTATACATATGAAATGCTTGGAATGAAATTCTACAAATTTGCCTTCACTACTAAAGTGAGCTGTGTTCTAGACAAAGACAAAAGCCTTTTGTAGTTTTTAGACTTTTCCTGCAAGTGGTGAGGAAATAAATCTAGTAATCTAAGCTATGTAATCTCTGAGGAAGACGGCTAGCCAAAGCGTTGGTCGAATAAACGGTTTAACAATGTCGGTTGCGACTAAAGCAACGCAAACATCTAACAAGAGAAGGATGCTTAGTCGTAGTGGTGTTTTCAAATAAAATATAAACCATCCATTAGATCATGGAACGCTGAGTTCTAATCTGCCTTCAATATCTGCAAAGCCCCTCGGGGGGGGGGGGGTGAGTTATTGAGAATTAATGCCAGATCGCTTCAAGCAATGGCCCTTAATTATAATATCCAATCACTCATCACTAATGTCAAATACCGGAAAGATCACAACACCTGTTCTTACTTCAGCCAGACGGTTGGTTTTAGAAAATCCCCACAACTGCCCTCCTAGAAGCGCAATGCAGGTAACGAAAGCAGTTTCGGAATCATAGCGTTTCATACTCTATAAAACGGTCTTCATTTCATACAGAAACACCACTTCAATCAAGATTCCTTCCCTTATGAGTCCTACGCCATAATATACTTTAAGTGGTATATGGGACATTCTCGCTTAGTATTAGCAGTTGCTAGAAAATAGCTACTTTTCCGAATCGATTTAGTACGCGTTTTCAGTGTTGTTCTTATCACAACCTTATGTTCAATGCTTTCGTATTCCTCAGAGGTCTGTATTATTCCAAATGTTATCTTTAGTGTTATTTGCTATATTTAGCCACAAGGAGGCCATCCAGTGCTGCCGATACTCCTTGCTATCACGTATGTCAATGCAGAAGAGATACATTGACCTGTAGGAAGCACCGCTTGACTCAGCCGAACTGAGCTGTTGCCCGAAGGAAAGAATCTGCGACGGTAAGCTCCATGCTTTGAGTTGAAACTTAAAGTCAGGAGTCGAGTGAGAAGTTGTCCAGTCCAGTGCCACGGGTCAGCTCAACGTGCTGCCCTCAGGTCAAAGATAGGTTGTAAGCTGATAGAGTTGGTGAGCTGCTTTTAGGTAATTCACGAGACATAAAAGTGACAAATCCGGCCCGAAATGCACAAATATGCACTGTTTCGAGCTTGTGGACAAAGGGGATTGATGAACAGCTGATATAGGTCAAATATTAGGTTGGCTCGAAAGTTCTGGGACATTTTTAGACGAGATGGTGCATTAAAAGTTTGCACCAGCTTCGACCCAGCGTAAGTTTGAATCCAGAATCTGACAAGGAAATGGTCAAAAATCGAAGTGGCCACTCCAGACAAGCTGCTTAGCAGATGCAGCATGAAGCGCTGACTCCAAATCTGTCTTCTTTATCTGCTTATCGCTTTTCTGGACGAAGTTATAAGCCGTTAAAGACCATTACGTTGCTTAGGAATTATGCGTGAAATTGAAAATTTAGCCGTACAGAGCCTCGTTCGCCTCAATGCTGGGCCAAAACATGCAGCTGGCTTACTTAAATTTTTCGAAGCCAGAAGCCGAGCTAAAAGTGCAACAATGTGCTCAATTTCGCTGTTTTTATGTATAATTTTTTTCACAATAAAACCGCTTGTAGCTTCGTCCACAGAAGCGGGAAGTAGATAAGGAAGACAGATTCGAAGTCAGCTTTTTATACTGCATCGAATGGCATACAGATTGTTTGGTTTGGCCACTTCGACTTCTGACTATTCCCTTGTGAGTCGTACAAGGGTCGAAAAATTGGGAAAAATCCATAGCTTCGTTAAAATAAACCTTACTGATCTCTAAGTTGGTCATGCAGGTTATACACCGCATCAGAAAGCCATGTGTATCATTGCTAAATTTTTTCCTCATCTAGATATCGAGAAAACGTAAATTTTCATGTTTATACAAAAACAAGCCCTAGTTTTCGAAAAATATTGATTTTAGGGAACACCCGAGTTAGGAGAATTCAATTCGGTAATTTTCAGATTAGGGCTTGTAGAAAGCTGAAAATTTCTGGTTATACTTCTAAGGGCTTGTGCTATACAATTACATAATGGAAACAATGTAGCTTTGTTTTTGTATGAACACGAAAATTTACGTTTTCTCGATACTCTAGATGAAAATAAAATACAGCAATGATATATAAGGGTTTCTGATGTGGTGTATAATCTGCATGAGCAACTTGGAGATCCGTAGGATTTATTTGAACAAAGATATGAATTTTTCCAATAGTACTACTCAGATTCTGGTTGCAAACTTACGCTGGGTCAAAGCTGGTGCGAACTTTTGCATACCTTCCTTCAGACCTTGCTTTGCTCTACCGAATGGTACCTCTGTCGGGTATGCATTGAGTTTTGAGAAATAGCAGATCTCGACCAAAAGTGTCCCAGAACTTCCGAGCGAAAATAATAGAATATAGGTCTCCTCCTTTTTTTGCAGAGTTTGCAACATCATAGTTTTGTTTTACTCATCCATTTGCTTTTTAAGGTTCTTGGAAGTTGTGATCATCGATTTTGCAATAGTGGCTGCTCAAAGATTAACCCGACATGCATAAAATTCCGACACTAGCAGTGGTCTTGAACCGTGGCAGTGCGATTTGAGTCCCACTCATCCATGCTTTGACCAGTTGCTTAAGGTGGCTTTCATTTTGAAGATGCGCATGTACATCATTTCTGGAAAGCATCCGGAAATCATTCAACTAGGAAAGGATCCCAAATCGCAGTGACGATCTGGAACGAAATGCATCTTACTGGATGTGTTTCGTTGAACTAAACCCTGAGAGATTTCTTTTTTGCTTGTCTGCTGCAGAGTTCGCTGAAAGAAGTTACTAGCCAAGTATGGCAGAAATTCAGTGGCATCCTGTGCATAACTTGTAGTCATCACTTTCAACTGTGCATAACTCGTAGTCATCATTTTCAGCACCTTGCCAATCATCTTGGACTTTCAAGCTGATCTGAATGCGAATTATGCATTAAGACCCGAATGACTTCAGACTTTTAACCGCTCACAACTTCTTCCATAAAATTCCGCGGCGGATAGGAAGCTAGATTTGGAATTCATTAACAAGATGTATTTCAGCCCATTTTTCATTGCGATTTGGGATCTCTCCCTTGAAAGAATAAAAAAATTATTTACAAACTTTCACAAATGGAGAAAGGAACTTGGCCCTTTGCACATTCTGATTTGACTTACAAGGAAGGCATGTTTATTCGGAGTGGCCTTTTTAGAAGGAATGTTTACCAGATTGAAGGGCATAAAATGCTGACTTCAAATCTGCTTTTCTTATCTGCGATGCATTTGTGGACGAGGAGTTATGGGCGTTAACTGGAGAAAAAAATGAATGTACAATTATGTTTGAATGAGGTGCTAAAATCCTCCTAGCCCTCAAATAGAGCAACCAAGTGTAATATACTTTTCATTCAAAACTATTTATTGAAAAAGGTGCTATGATTATTATCACTGCCCCTCAAAGCGCTGGAAAGAATATTAAGGCGATTTTTGTCCAAGTTGCACGTATTCTTTCTTACTTCATTAAACGCTCTGACCCCTCTTCTACAAATGTTTCGCAGTTATGGAAGGCAGATTTAAAATTAGCGTTCCATGCTTTTCAATATGGTATACATGCCATTCAAAAAGACCACTTCGGCTAAATATGCTTCCTTTGTTAGGGAATAGACTTGCAGCCATTTCGTTCTGTGAAGCATTCTAGCTCTATCGAATATTGTCCCACGCATCATTAATACACTGTTGCATTAAAATCATTTTATATTGGGCTTAAAGATCAGCGAAAGTGCTGCAAGACTGATCACAAACTGTCGTAGCGGCACATTTAAAAAACCATGAGGTCATTGTATACTACAAGCCTCACTAGTTCTAATTTTGAAACATAAATCCTGTATGTGCTTTTATTAGGTCATTCCGAAAGTAATTTCGCTTTTTTAATCGGGCACCTCGTGTGACGAAACAAAGGTTTCCAAGCGATCTTAAGATATTCGATGCAGAATTTCATTCTCTTTCTAACGGGAATTGTTGCCAAACAGTCAACGAGTTTTCAGAAAATAACCAAAATCTGCGACACTTGCTTTTTGAGATGGTCAAGTTTCACGATTTTTCAAAACTTTCATATCAGTCCTCAGAAGGAGTTCAAGCAACGGTTCGATAGAGTAAACCTTACAGAATTCAGTACTGCTCTTTTCTCCTTTCCATACTTGTCATACATTTTTAACAGAATTTTAACTGATGCTACCGATTTTCATACTTGGGCAGCTAAGTCCTCTTGGAACATTAAAAGAAGAGCAGCTCGGGCGCTATTCGATGCAGCATTTTCTCCTCTTTCTAATGGGCGTTTTTTTTGTTTCCGCTTCGTTTAGTTTTCGGAAATAAAATCATCATGACTCATTCTTCTGCCGAGCCCCAGGCTGTACCCGAAGAACTCGAAATTTGATATTTCGATCCCGTAAACCCTCACTTGCTTTGTAAATTAATGCTAACTCATAGTACCACCCTGGTAATGTCAAATTTCGAAAAATTTATGATGTTTGATGCGATTGTGGCTGAGGTGGGCCTGCCAAAATTTGATGGTTCTGTTAAAAAATCTTTTTAAAAATTACGGCGGGCTACGAGAAAGAGAAAAAAGTAGTGATGTATTCTATAAGGTTTACTCTATCGAATCGTTACTTGAACTCCTTCTGAGGATCAGCTTGAAACTTTTAAAAAATCTTGAAACTTGACCATCTCAAAAGCATAGGTCGCAAATTTTGGTTGTTTTCTGAAAGCTCATTGATTGTTTTACAACATTTTCGTAACCGTTAGAAAGAAAATAATATTCTGCATCGAATGCTTCCAAGATCTCTTAGAAAACTTTGTTCCTTCACATGAGGCGTCCGTTTGAAAAAAGCGAAATTACTTTCGGAATGACCTAATATAATCGAGTAATATCAAGTTTTACATGAAAAACCCGAAAAATTGACACAGCGTTTTCAGACCACCCCTTTTCTCAATTTTGGGCTCCGGAAAAAATCCGCTGAAAATATTTTTGGGTACTTCTATGTGTCTACCTTATGAAAACCAAGTTGAAAATCCGAGGAATTTTTTAGAAGGAGATCCGATTTTTAGGGTCTATGAAAATTTTTGATTTTTGGCCCATTATTTTACCTAGATTACGACTTAAGCGGATCTTGGGTGATTTTTTCTGTAGAGCTTGCTCCATTCTGTCGAATGGTAGCGTAGGTCTATTAAGAACATGGGATCGGCTCAATTCATTTGGAAATGCAGTTTGCTTTTGGGACAACCTAATACTTTTCAAAAAATTTTTTGGTAAACGACAAGTTTTGATTCCTATCGAAGTCTTCCATGTGTTTGGTGGGTAATGGTTTACCTGCTGGTTACTGAAGTTTACTTCCTGATGTTGTGAAGGTGACTCTAAAACTTAGTTAGAGTTGGACAAGGTAAACACAGTGAGACTTCGGCCAAGTAAATTGGAGTGCCCTTCAGTAATCATTATAAGAAATTTGCGGGTAGGTCCTTGAACAAGCTTTTAAAGTATTTTAGTATGTTGAATTGTATTTATTATAGCTGTTCACGTCTTTACTTGTATCTAGAACTTTTTTTATGAAATTCAAAATCCGGACCTACACTTTTGTGTAGGAACACAAAATTGTTTTGGTTCAAAAAGGCGAACGCATAAAACTGAAAGCCGAAGCAAGACTGCAAATAGTTGGTGCGGGATTTTTAGTGCAGAGCTATGTTTTAGCCATCTTCCGAAAGCATTAGGCCTATAATGGAAATAGAAGGTTTAGCATGGCAATGCATTTTGAAGTCGTGAGGGACTCAATTAAGATTTCGTAATGCAAATGTTTTTGCTAAGCGATGGGATACTTTAAATGGGCTCCTAATGTTGTTGATGTGGTAAGAATTACGAAAGGGCATTATGATAGCATATATCAATTTAAATAGCATCGTACTTGCAAGGTCTTTCAGTGCTCCACTTGCTGAGGCGTGAGGTCTTTTTCCTTCTTCTGGCATATACTCCAATTTCAAGTTGTTACTGAACAATCAATTGCTTTTGATTATAGTTGTTGAATAAAGGAATCTATAGGGAAAAGTTCCCAATACCTAAAAAGAATTTTATGCTTAATTTGCAAGTTAGAGATGATTTTGCATTAGAGAATCCGGAGCCACAAATTTTTTTTCACCATTCATGTATCAGCTGCCAGTTTCATTGTACATCCAAATCAAAATCCTTCTCACAAGGCTCTTTTTATTTTCAGTGCTTGCATTTATTTTACTAACATTTTTTAGTTCATCAAACATTATGATTGCGATGTTCAATTACCTCATGGTTGTTCTTGTGTTCATTGTTGGCCTTAACAGCAATGTGAACGGAGGTGAGCTTATTGCAGTCTGATTTCTTGAAGTATCAATTGTTAGTGCTCTAGGTCCTCTCTATACCTTCTGGCCCGGTGGAAAACCTGTCATACATGCTGCCTGATCGGTCTTCAACTGATCGATCCATCATGATTGCTTTACCTTCTGTCTAAAAGTTAATCTTTCACAATAAAGATTAATTATTGTCTTTTAATCATTGTTATCCAAGATGAAAGTATAGATTGTTTGACATAGTTGACTGTAAAGAGCGGGCGCAAATTGTCCCGATCACTCGTTTGCCACGCGAAATACCTCAAACTTGGGTAATTAAACCTTTATTCAGAAACTTTACATTTCGCAATAACACGACAAGGCACACGATAAGGCCCCGATAAGGCACTTACAGAAATACTGATTTTTATTCAAGGCATTGCAAAAGGAATGTGTTGCAAAAAAATATAAAGCCAACTTTCCTGAGTAACTTGATCGATAATAACTGTGAGGGATGAAAGTGAATTAGCACCATTGATGAAAAGTGCATATTGCAATCGCAGAGGAGAAATGAATTACAAGGAGAAAAATGAACAACAAAGAAATAATGCAAATACCTCAAAACGGAATATCAATCGCAAAGAGAAGAAATGAATTACAAGGAGAAAAATGAAATAATGCAAATACATTAAAAAAGAATATTAATCGCAAGGAGAAGAAATCAAAAATGTAAAAATCATTCGCACTGCCTCTGATCGCCACGCCGCAGTTCATATAGGTTCATTGTCCCCTTTGTTTTGAGAGACGCCGATGTTGCTCTTCCTTCAGCTTCATGTCTTTGTGAGCCTCTCTTTGTTTGAATGCTCTCGCTGCGTATCGCGGTATTCACGAGCAAGATGGCGACGGCGATAAGCATGATGTTGACTGTACTGTATGCAAATGTAAAGTACCGATCGCGTTTCCGCGACACTCCGCCCCTCTACTGTTGCTGGTGTCGCAGGGTCTGAAGTCGGTTAAGGATTTCCGCTTCGTTTGCCTCACATTGGGACTTCTCACTTTCGATCTTCAGAGTTTCGTCGGGTAGGTCACACACGGCTGAGTGGTGGCCCCTCGTCTTGCAGTGAAAACAGGGGATCCTGTACTTGACGCACTGAAATCCTCCTACGCAATGAGGCTCCAGGCAATTTGTGCAGCGTCGATGCCTTCTCAGAAATCTCCTTTTAGACACCTGATCTCATCCTCGTGCATGAATCAGAACAATGTTCTCCGATAGCGCTGCAGAAGACACATTCCATGGTTCGTTCTCCTTCACGCCACACTCCACCTTCATACTCTCTTGGTTTGCAAGTCCGTTTCCTTTCGAGCTCTCTGATCCGGCGTTGTATTCTGTGTAGTTTTTCTTCGAGTGCGGGTATTTCCAGGGCTGTCCTCTCCTCCATTCCTCTCGGCCTCTGGCCACTGGTAGAGTCCGCTTGGCTGATCCTGCGGGGGTCCTTGTGGTACTGTCGGAGGTGGGATAGGGAACGGGAACGGTGGTTGAAAGTGTGGAAATTATGGGAATAACATGGGTTGTGCTGGCATCTGTGGCATCTGAGGTAGTGTCGGTGGTGAGGGAGCTTCTGTCTGCATTGTTTTTGCTTTTAGCGGGGCTTGGTGAGTCGTCTGCACTGCTCTGCATACCTTTTGTCGTTCCAACGGATACGTTTGCGTCCATGCCGCGCAACTTTTGATGGTGATCTTCTGCTTGGAAACGGTGTCTTTCACCTCGACCATCGTCTGTTGGATTGACTGTATAGCATTGAACACGCGAACGTCCCTGGCTTCTCTTTCTGCTCGCTCTCGGGTAAGACATTCGGCTCGAGTTTGTTGAATCGTCATATAGAATTCGTCTATGAATCGAAGATGGTCATTAATGATAAGCTCCAACAGGTTTGCATCTGTCAGTAGCGGCTTTCTCTGACCGTCTCTCGATATATAATATTGTGGGCGTTCCATTCTTGCGTTCCATGCGTTCTCGTTCATGGCCTTTGTGGCGATCAGGACAGGCACCTTTGAAAAAAGTAATCTCAGACGACGTAAGAACTCTAAGCGCATTTTACAATTACCAGTTCTAAGTTCAAAAATCTGAGTGTCTCGCTCTAATTCGCCGTAGGGTGCATTGCTCATGTAGAAAAGACTGGAATCTTCTTTCAGTTGGTCGAAAATCTCGGTTGTAATCATGATCATTGTGGAAGCTTCAATTATCTGATCGTAGAGTTTTGCGGGTGATGGTAGCGGTGGTATCGCTTCTTTGAGTTTTCGCAATTCCCTACGAAGCCTGCTTTCTTTTTCCACTTCTGAAAGAAGATTAGTTTAAAATATTTTTTCACGCACCTTGCCGTTTTGAATGATTTTTCTACAAGTGGCGCGAATGAAATACCGTAGCATCTTTGCGGGATGCAAGGTATTTTTATGATGGCTCGAATGAGCAGCGTATTGCAAATGATAGTATTGTTGGTAAAAATAAGTATGTGATAGCGAGTACGATTAGTAGCACAAAAATTAGCAAAAGTATGCTTTTTTTCGTATGAGGAAGATGTCGCAAATGTGGAGAAAATCTGGCCATTCAAAGGAATACACTTCGCTTTCGCTGGCTATTGCAAAACCTTTGGGCGGTTGGAATGTTTTTACGAATTTGAGAATTCCTGATAACACAAAATGTGTTGTTTCTCCACAACTGACTGTGCAATTGATGTAGTTGCGCGCTGTGTTTCGTAACAATCTCAGTGTTGCGCTTTCTCCTTTTGGTGAACAAGGAACTGTCATGGTTTCTGTTTCGCATCGCACTTCTGCTAATGTTCGTCGACTTGATTTGCACACGATATTTGCTTCTGCCCCTTTCTCGTAACGGTAACAACCAGATAGTATCGCGCTCTTGATTGTGCAAGGCATCAGATTGAATTTCCTAAATGGTTTTGTTGATTTTTCCCCGGAATTCAATAATGAACTTTGAAGATGCCGTATCTCTGATACGTGCAACTACTTTTGCTTGTTTCCCTTGGTAAAAAAGTGCGTTCTGCGTGTTCAGTGGCAGCTTTCGTGTTAAATCACCAAAATAGTTCATCAATGATGTTGATTTGCGTTCGCATCTCACTTTGTTTTCGGCCGCCCCACAACTGCATTTATCGCGTAGGTCACATTGCAAGCTTTGTGCATCCTCTGGAGTCTTGCAGTACAAAGAGAGTTCGTCATTTTCTTGGAAAATCGCAATTTGATCGCCTTCAGAAAGAAATCTCTTGTTGAGAATTGGTAATGGAGGAACTGCCAGGGAAGTTAATGTTATGGTAAAATTTTGTATCGCGACTGGTATATTTGGCAAAATTGAAGTGACATAGACGGAGCTGTATTTGAGGTTTTCTAGGGTAATTTCAAGTTTGACTTCCTCTTTCCATCTTGCGCATTTTGATAGTTGGAATACCTTGTTGTCAATCGGTTTCGCATAGACCCTGTAAAAAAGGCAATCCGAGCTGGGATAAAAGCAGTCGCATCCTATCCCCTCACAAGACTTGAAACATCCTGTTCTCTCCGGGTACCCATTCGCCTTTTCTAACTCTGGCAATAGGTCGGATGAATTGACCGAAGCGCATTTTTGGCCACTACAGGACCTCATGTGTGGGCATCGCTTACTGTCTAGAGTATGTATCTCAACATCGCGGGTGTGAGTGATGATTTGATGATCGCAATGGAGAAACAGCCCTTTCCATCGGATCTTTAGGTGAAACATGGCGTTTTTCGCATAAATTCGCAGACATGCCTCTTGTTTATAGTTGTTGATTTTTAGAACATTTGCCAGTTTTACTTCGCAAATTTCGCCTTCAGAGTTAGATGTACACGTGTTGGGTTTCGATTGAAAAGACGTTAAAGGCAGTGTCCGGGCAAAAACTCGATTTTGAGATTTTGTGCTTATGCGCGCCTATTCGCCATGCTTAATCAGAAAATCCACATTGGAAAGCGCGAAAACGGCGAAAAAGGGCTCTAATATAGGAGGGAAATCAGCGGGTGGGCGGGGCTTTCCCCAGTGCGATTTCACGCTCCCGGCCCCCGGAGCGATTTTCTCAATTCCGCTAGCCGTTCTAAGATCGCTACCGGCCAAGTGCGAATGATTGACTTAAAACCGGAAGCGAGAAGGTCGCTCCCGAAGCCGGAAACGTGAATTCGCAGTGGGGAGGACCCCGCCCACCTGCTCATTTCCCTCCTGTGTTAGAGCAGTTTTTCGCCATTTTCGCGCTCTACAAAGTGCATTTTCGGATTCAGCGTAGCGAATAGGCCCAAGTAAGCACAAAATCTCAAAATCGAGTTTTTGCCCGGACACTGCCTTCAACATCTTGGCAGGAGAGTGTTGGAAGTACCTGACTTGAAAACGTGACTATCGCAATCGCGGCGGCTATACGGCGCAGTCTTCTATTGTTTGTCGGAAATCGCACCGCTTTTCGGAGGCAACGTCGAATTATGCTGAAAAAGTACAGAATGATTACAAAAACTCCGTGAAGTATTAGGCGGATGGGTTTTCCAACCGTGATTGGTACATAAAGTAGTATGTAGACTAACGCTACTATGATGTAAAGTATTAGAGTTGCCCCTACTAGAGAACCGATAGGCCAACATTCGGGGTTAAGTGTGACCGTTGTGCAGATGTTGCATTGTATGTTTCCGCAAAAGTCCAATCCTTGACATTTCATTTCCATAGATTGCAGAGTTGTGTTGTGATGCCATTTTAAAAGAACGTCGTGTTCGTGTAGTGTCAATTCTGGTGAGAATCTGAGAGCTCGTAAGGAGATGGTTTTTTGTACAACTTGCATTCGCCTTCAGCGCAAATTTCGAATTCTTGTGTCGTATTTGCATTTTTGACCGCCACACCGTTCCTTTGACATTCCATTCGAATGGTTTCTGATAAAGGTTTGCATGTTGTTGGAGAACAGAGAACTGTTAGCAGCATTAGCGTCATTATGGCCGACGATTTCATTGCGTTACGAAAGCTTGCCGGCCATGATTTGCTCTCACCAAGTTTTCTCTATATGAGACGTTTTTTCGTGGGCGAAGATTGTAATGATTCTGGTTAGTATTGTTTTCCGTATCTGTTGGGAATGGAGTCTCTTCATCCTGAATCTCAAGTGGGACTACCATGTTGACTGGTCTCTTGATAGTTCTTTTTGTTGATGTTATCAGTTCAAGTTCTCGAACTGCCCCATCTGAACATGCATTGATTTTCGTGATTTTTGCCATCCTCCAATCATTTCTTGGTAAGATTGGATCCATTAAGAGTACTATCGCTCCCTCTTTCGGGGTCGGAGAGGAATTTCTTTGTCCTGACATTCGTGTGTGGTGTTGTTCTTGAAAGCTGGTAAGGTAGTGGTCTTTCCATACTTTACAAAATTTACAAGTGAAATTCATGGATGCTTGCAGTGACTCGATCACTTGGTTTCGCGTTTCAAGGGCCGCTGATTCTGCCGAAGTGTGGTAATCCGGATCTGCTGTGTTCATTTTTACTTTTTTCAGTAGGAAATGTTGACTCCAACCGACTTTGTATGAAGTCGATAGGCCTTATTGTTGAATAGTAATCGCAGTCGGTCTCCTGGTATGTCAGCGGTCTAGAATTCAAAATGGCTTCAATCTCTGTAACCACCGTTACCAGATTATCAAACGATATTTTGGCTCTTCCAAGTGATTTATAGAGTGCTTCCTTCACTGATTTTATCAACCTTTCATAGAAGCCCCCTTGCCAAGGGGCATATGGTGTAATTGTTCTCCAGTCAATCTCTCGTTGATCGCGAAGTCTTCCAGTAAATTTTGCTGGTTTGCGTCTTTCATTATCACTGCTGTAAGTTGGAAGGTTGGCGCATTGTCGCTCGTAATTGATTTTGGTATGCCTCGTCTCGCGAAGAAGCGTCTGAGGGCATTTATGAATGACTCTTCGCTCATCTTTTTTTGTACTCCTAAGTGTATGAGTCTTGGTGCCGTGCATGTAAAGATACAACCATAAGTTTTGATGCTTTCGTGGCTGTCCATTACTTGCAAAAGGTGAAAGAAGTCTATCCCGATGTGTTCGAAAGGCCTAGTTTGTTGCACTCTTCTTGATGGTAAGTCTGACATTTCTGGGTATTTATAAGGGGCCCGTTGAATCGTTTGCATCGGATACATCCGGCTATGGAAGATCGCACCTGTTTTCGTAATTTAGGAATCCAGTATTCCCTTCTGACAGTGCAGATAGTGTGTGCAATCCCCCGGTGATATTCTCCATGGGCTTCCGATATTACTCTGAGGGCTAGTGTGCTTTTAGGTCCGACAAAAATGGGGAATTTCGCATCATCGCTTATTGCTGAAAATCCCAGACGTCCTCTTGCCCTCCAAACTCCCGCGCTATCCTTGAACAATTTCAGCGTTTCATCCATCGATTTGATGTATTCTGGATTGAGCACAAGCGACTGGTGTTCCTTTATCAGTATAATTTTGCTTGTCGCATCTCTACGGCTGTAAGAGTTGCGGATGATACCATCTCTCCTAACTCGGAAATATTTTTGCATATGCGGGAAGTGATTGCTTGTGGCATTTTAGCCAGCAATCTTCGCAAGAATCGCAAGACCCATGCTACTATGCGTTGGGATTTTCGCAACGATGAATAGCGGCTAAGAGCAAAATGTTGTTTTTCTTCGGGCATTGCCACTGCCAAGCCTATTAGCGCTTGTTCCTCTTCTGAAACGGTATTTTCGTCTGATCTTGGCCATTGGAATATTTGCGCGTTCCACATTGCATGAGGTAATCTAAAAAATTCTGGGCCATTCCACCACTTGTGTTTTCAGGGCCCGTAGTAATCCACTCCGCATGTTGGCATAAGACATGACGGCGACCTCGCGAACCTCATGACAAGCTCATGTTTTGGGCGTGAGGTTCGCGAGCTTCTGTAGCCTTTCGATTTTACTGGTAATCACAGTGCACTGAAAAGTCGACCGCAAAACCATTGCACCTGCTGTGATGGAACTCTCCTCTGACCAACGAGAGTCAGCACGTTAACCTGTTGAACTACACGTGAACATTTCCACTTATTCTAGGGTACTTGATCAAACACACCGTCATCTTGCATTAACATGTTTATTTGCGTTTTCGAGTCGCAACGAGAGCTATCATTACGAAGCAATTGGTGATAGTAATACATTGACTAAAATGGTAAACAGCTCAACCCCATATAGCGTCACGAACCACACCAGGGTCATTTGAATGAGCATGCCACTTTTCTTTCAACAGTTTGGACTACATTCCTTTTCCAATCATAAAGGTATAACTCTGGGAGTATATACAAGTT